ACGCCTTCTCCAAATCCAACATTGCGACTAATACTTGTCTCATTTCTTTCCCTATCACTTCTAGTGCCCCCATCGCCACCATTATATTTTCAGCAATCGACCGTCCTTTGACAAAAGCCCCTTGGTCTGACTTCACCAAGCCTGGGAGAAACTCCCCCACCCTCCTCGATAGCGCCTTTGCCAAGATCTTATAGGCGACATTTAATAGAGAGATAGGCCGCCAATTACGGCCATTGAGTTTATCTCCCTTCTTATATAGCAAGGTTATGACTCCCCTGCACATGTCTTCCGTCAATCTGCCGCCTTCTAAGACTCCATTGAACAGTTTTAGTAGGATAGGGCCCACCTGCTCCCACGTGGCCTCGAAGAATTCAACCGGTAGCCCGTCATCCCCTGGGGACTCCCCCCTCGCCATCTGCTTGACTGCTTCCCTGAGTTCCGCCAGTGAGAGCGGCCTGTCGAGGCTCAGCCTTTGCTGGTGTGACAGCTTCTCTGTCGTATGTTGCCAAAGGTTGCCTTGGCACCGCATTTCCGCCAAGGTTTCCACTGGGGGTCTTCTTGACATAAGAATATCCGAGTAGTACTCGGCCGCATACTGGGACATGACTTCTGTTGTCACAGCTAGATCTGCTTGCGCATTAAAGGGGTGCTGAAGAGCTCTAATGAAGTTGTGAGTGCGGGGAGGACAAAGTCTACGAAAAGTTTCCTTTGTCATCCGGTCCACCTGCGTCATACCCCTCTCTCTTGCTCTCTTGGCCCAGGCCTCTTGTTGGTCAATCTGAATAGCTTCCACATTTGCATTAGAATTAGTTAGAAAAGGCGAGAAAAACGGAAAATCGAGGCGAGCTGGGGCTAAGTCTCACTAGCAGCTTTGAGTTACCTCAACGCCTGAACCTGGACGTGTTGTGCAGTTCGGGAAACTCAACACCATTTCTGCACATCTCTGCAAAAGCGTCCAGATTCAGGCTTTTGAGGTAGCTCAACGCTGCTAGTGGGACTTGGCCCCTGGAGAGAGGGCAACAGAAAATCGTGGGAGGAATGCCCAAAAAAAAGGCAAAAACAAGGGGCAGTGCTCTCAACTTGGGGGCTCACCGGACGGTATTCTACACAGAAAGGAAAAACTAATTCGTTTTGTGAAGGTTTCAGTGAAAACTCACGAGTGATGTCAGATTCGAAGTTCGCGAGTGTGCGCACGAGCAGCTGCCGTCCCCGCCTGTAACCCGCGCAAACTCGTAGGTCCTCCAGAGGTTTACTGGTGGAGCTGCAAATCCGCACGAGTGCAACACGTCTGTCCAAAGAGTGTCCGTCCAAAAAAAATTGGACATCTGTGCATGTCAGGCCCCTCACGAGCTCGTAAGGCGGCTTCCACGAGTGATTTCGCTTGAGCTGTGCGGCGGCGGTGCAAGAAATGAAACGAAACAGTGATTTGATTTTCGGCTTCGCGAGGCCTTGCGAGTTTCAAGGTCGTTTCGTTTCGTTTTTTGCACTGTCCGGCGATGCCCTTGGGCGGTGGGACATCACCACTGGGTGGGGAAGAACGTTGATTCCTCATTCACTAGCGCCCAGCAGGAACATTGATAGTTTCTTTCCTAGGTTCTACTTCACTACTACAACCACGGGAAACGACGGTGATGGACGGCTGGGTGGGGAAGAATATTGCTTCGTCATTCATTAGCGCCCAGTTAGAGCGTCGATACCTCATTAATTAGCAAGTGACACTGTCGGCTGGGTGGGGAAGAACGTTGTTTACTCATTAATCAGCCCGTGTCGGCTGGGTGGGGAGGAAGAACGGTAATTGCTCACTAATCAGCCCGCGACGGTAGTTTACTAAGTGGGCTTTAAGTCACTAGCACAGCAGCGGGAAAGGACGGAGACGGACGGCTGGGTGGGGAAGAACGTTGATTCCTCATTTGTTAGCACCTGGTAAGAACGTCAAATCCTCATTAATCAGCTCGCGAGGATAGTTCACTTCCAACTTCCTCTCGTTGGTCGTGCCAATCGAGGGCTGACGGGCCAACGTGGCCATTAACGGCTCAGGGGAAAAAACAGCCCCTCGGCCCGTTTATTGCCAGCTGCATGTGTGAAACACTGATAGCGGGTCGGCTCAGGAGTGTGCACGGGGAGGTGATTTGATGTGGTGACTTGTCAGACGCCCGCCAGCTAATAGCTAAAGCGAGCTAGGCCAGGGATTCCCGTGCTAAGGGGCCTTTCCGCTTCCTTCTCATTTTTGTGTAGTTTTCTTTTTGGGGTCGCAGTCACGAAAGCAGTTTGTAAATGCACTTCGAACTGCCTGTTTGGAGTCCAGTACCGTCCCAAGTTTCAACTGCAGTTGAAACTCTTGACATACACAAAAGTCGCGAGGCCGAGTTTGCAACTGCAGTCCAGTCCG